AGGTGAGAAATATGGAAACTCTTAATTTAAGGCTGGGCAGTTTTTGCTTCAGATGGCAGGTGATGCATCTGTTATGCAAACTATTTTTTGTAATATTTTGTGTGAGCCTGCTATGTCTTCAATCTCAACCCAATGGGGAAACCACAGGAAAAATTGGTTTTCCATTAGGGGAAAACTAACATTCTACTTTTATGACATTTCTAATTGACTGGAAGCAAATTTATGCATAAAAGGAAAATGTAAACAGGCATATATATTTTAGCAGTTATTCAGAAGATGTACAAAGGGAGATTCTGACATTTAATCTTCAGAAATATGTTCACTGTAATGAGTCCTCTGGTGTCTAAGATAACATAAAGATTTTATAAAACTCCAATGAAAATTTATTTTCATTGTTTATCTTGGTGTGATAGATGGGGAAAAGTACCAATAGACAATTTATTGGTGCCAAATACCCGAATAAAAATGGTTCGTCAACAGACTGTTTTCACAGATGAGTATTGTCTGGCTATCTTACTCTTTTTGGAATAGTAACAGCATCCTTTCATTCCCAAATGACACCAAGAAGTTTCTTACCATTGAGAATCAGACAGGAGTGTGAGGACTGCGACTTTCACACAATCTGATAAGTATTCATAAGTCTCTGGCAGTTTCTGCTTAGCTAGCATTTATGAATAACAGTCTCTTTTATTGGTAAACTGACAAAACGTCTTTGACACCAGAAGCACGCAGACATTTCTGATGAGAAAAGAATAGCGAGTGTCCGGTGGTGTGTTTTTTTTAACACTCTCTTTACTTTCGGGCAAGCCTTGCAAAGCTAATAATGTGCAGTGAAGGGTAAAAAAGAACACTCTTGAAAGATATCTAAAAGATACATATTATCTAGTCTCTAGACATGGTGTGAAAACTGTTTGCGCCCAGCTTGTCTATTTACCGAGATAAAAATCAAATCAAGGTTACTCATAATTAGAGATGGGCCAAGGATGTGATGCTGAGATCTGAATACGGATTAGAGACAGGCTGCTGTTTAGATTTGAGGCGTAATGATTTTGTCTGGACTTGAGAATGCTCTTCCAAATAGCATTTGACTCTAATGTCAAAATGGTCATGGCCAAGACGACTTCTTTTTTTTAGAGCTGGGCCATAACTCTTCCGGGGGGTGGGATTCTGATATATTTTTTGAACTGATGGATAGTTCCACCCCGCTCTTCATCAATAGTATATGATGAAAGAAGAAGAAGAAGAAGAAGAAGAAGAAGAAGAAGAAGTATTTATACCCCACCCATTTGGCTGGGTTTCCCTAGCCACTCTGGACGGCTTCCAACAAAAGATTAAAAGTACATTAACACATCAGTCATTAAAAACTTCCCTAAACAGGGCTGCCTTCAGATGCCTTCTAAATGTCAGATAGTTGTTTATTTCTTTGACATCTGATGGGAGGGCATTCCACAGGGCGGGTGCCACTACCGAGAAGGCCCTCCCCACTGGCTGCCTGTGAATGGGACACAACTGTGGATCTAGTTTTGCTACTGCTTGATATTATGTAGGAGAGGAAGAGCCAGGGCTTTATGTGGGAGATTCAGCGCCGAGGGCCTTCTGGCGGTTCCCTCATTGCGAGAGGTGAGGTTACAGGGAACCAGACAGGGGGCCTTCTCGGTGGTGGCGCCCACCCTGTGGAACACCCTCCCTTCAGACGTGAAGGAAATAAGCAGCTATCCAATCTTTAAAACACATCTGAAGGCAGCCCTGTTTAGGGAAGTTTTTAATATTTAATGCTGTATTATTTTTAACACTCGATTGGGAGCCGCCCAGAGTGGCTGGGGAAACTCAGCCAGATGGGTGGGGTATAAATAATAAATTATTATTTTATTATTATTATTGTTATTATTACTATTACTAGGGGATGGAGGATATTTCTCAGGCACCTTGTCGCACCTGACCACCTACAGAAGCAGCAGCAGCAAGAGCAAGTGCAATGCCATATCCACTGCTGTGTGCTGGCTGCTTGTGACAATTTGGAATATGTTTCAGCTCTCTGCACACCAAGAGCAAGTCGTGTAGAAACTGGTGACACTTCTCAGCAGGACCACTACCTCCTGGGCAAATGCAGCAAAAAGAGGAGAGGGAGATAAGTGTGCATAAACCATCCCAGTATGTTTCCGAGCGCAATTCAAAGTGTTGGTGCTGACCTTTAAATGGCCTCGGTTCAGGATACTCGAAGGAGCGTCTCCACCCCCATCATTCAGGCTGGACACTGAGGTCCAGATCTGAGGGCCTTCTGGTGGTTCCCTCACTGCGAGATGTGAGGTTACAGGGAACCAGGTAGAGGGCCTTCTCGATAGTGGTGCCCACCCTATGGAATGCCCTCCCCTCAGATGTCAAGGAGATAAAGAACTATCTGACTTTGAGAAGACATCTGAAGGCAGCCCTGTTTAGGGAAGTTTTTAATGTTTGAATTTTATTGCTTTTTTATTAATAATAATAATATTCTGTTGGGAGCTGCCCAGAGTGGCTGGGGAAACCCTGCCACATGGGTGGCGTATAAATAAATTATTATTATTATTATTATTAGAGATTTATACCATTTTATTCCCTGGGCTTTGGGGACCTGTGTCTTTGGTCCTGTGAGGAGAGCAGACATGGGATCAGTTCTTGCCAATAGATGCTGGGTGCGGCAGAGAACCCAATTCTGTAGGCATCTCTGTCTCTCATCTAGAATGGCCTGTAGTTTCCTCTTCCAACCTGCAACTCTAGTGGTACCTGATCCATAGGTACCTAGCCCTACAGTACCTGACAATTGCATTATTGCCTGTCTCCAGATGCTCTGCTTCTTCTCTTCAGGGTGAGCTGGTTTAGAAGTAGGTTTGTGGGGACACTTAAATGGAGGCCGCAAAGGCCCACCTTAGCTGGCCCTGCTTGGAGCTGGATGGTGGGTCATTCAACAGACTGTTGTGTTTCCTTTTTCCCAGGGGAAGTGGGTCTTCTTAACTAGACTGGTGCTAACAGTTGTGGAAGGAAAAGCTACCTCAGCTGGAATCACCAGAAGCTGGCTAGTAGGCAATACCTTCTGTCACACCTCACTGGGTCATGCTTAGTCTTCACAACACTGGGTCTTGAAAAAATAAACAACAGTTGCATTCTTAAATCCAGGTAGCAAGGTTGGCATCCTACTAATCAAGCAATTCTAGATTAGGGTTGCCATATTTCAAAAACTGAAAATTGAAGTTTTTGAGCTTTTCTTGTTTTTAAAGTCAATTTGCCAAAAAACCAATACTTCCTACATAGGTTGCCATACACCTGGGTTTCTGATCTACAGAAATTCTGCCTGGACTCCATTTTCAACGAACAAATCACAGATATTTACAGGAAATTCCAGACATATGGTCGCCCTGTACAGATTATTGTTGGATGCTTTGGCTCCAGTATTATGTAGAATTTAGTGTGCATCGTCAGTAGGTCCTGTTGAGAAGTAAGGTAAAGGTAAAGGGACCCCTGACCATTAGGTCCAGTCGTGACCGACTCTGGGGTTGCGGCGCTCATCTCGCTTTACTGGCCGAGGGAGCCGGCGTTTGTCCGCAGACAGCTTCTGAGTCATGTGGCCAGCATGACCAAGCCACTTCTGGCGAACCAGAGCAGCTCACAGAAACGCCCTGTTGAGAAGTACACTAGCCTATTTTAGGAAGCATACAAAAGGAGGCTGAATTATATATAGAAGCACTGAAGGTGGTGTCAATACGGTTTTGCTTCTAATGGTGTGCATAAGTTTCTTTTGCTTCACTATCATCTCAAACAGGTTACCCCCCTCCCACCCCAATAATGATGATGATGATGATGATGCAGAACTTGTTTCTTCCGTCTTCACCCCAGAGCATGCTCCCATTTGGTTTTGCAGTTCCAAGGCAGCCAAGTGTGTTTTCTAGCAGGGAGTGAGGAAGCAAGCTCCATGTAGCATCTTTTTTGGGGGGTGGGGGGCAAAGAATGGTAGCAGGCTGGTGCTTCTCTTGCTGTGATGCACAGCCTCCCAGTGGTCCCCTGGCTGGTTACAAAGGCCAGAGTGTGCTTCTCATCCGTTCTGCCAGTTCCGGGACAACTTTATTCCTTGGGATAGTCACTGGAAACGAAATCAACCTCATGGGAATAAAGTGAGCATGCCTTTGATGTTAAGATTGGTTTCTTTTCAGGCTTATGGATAATGGAACAGAGAAGGGTTAACAGCCCAGTAGACTAGATGGTATCTATCTAAATGCCTTTTTACATAATTTATATGTTGCTTGCTATAAAAAGATGATTTGGAAATGATTCAGTATGCCCATCAGGAATAGTCCCAATCTCTGCAGTCTTATTAAATGCATACAGCCACGTCTCCCCGAGAGACTCTCATGCTGCGAAACTCATTAGAATAATAAATTAAGTTTCTATGTATACAGACATTTTTTAAGATTCAGGTGAAAATGCCTCCTATGTTCTGTTCTACTTTTCAGTAGTTATCTGCTGCAATAAAGGGGGACGGAGACAAAAAACCTTCCAGCATTCACAGTGGGCTAACACCTCAAGGGGTAAAACTACAGTTCCCATGATCCTTTGGGGAAAGTCATGTGCTTTAAATGGGCTTCCAATGCATTGTATGGATGTGGAGGGCCTTGCAGTGTTCTTGGGATTATTAGACACAGTTCTGGGATCTGTTAAAAGATGAAGGGTGGTTAGAAAATAATAATAATTAAGAAACAAATCGTATGTGAGTGGGGCTGACGCAGACAGCACCAACCATTGGTGCAACACCTTGGAATCTTCATGCTCGCAAAGAGATATGAAGCAAACACTTCGGGCAGCAGACTCCAATTGAGTTTACTAGCCAATGACTTTCAGTTGCAAGGCAACTTTCTCTTGCAGTGAAGCAGTTATAGGCAGCTACTGGTGGTGGGAATTTGGCTGGGCAAGGACTTTGCGTAAGGCCAGCAATGCTGTGATTGAGGCCACAGTTGGAGGAAAGAAAGAACTGAATGTGAAATAGCTCATCTGGTAGAGTGCAAGACTCTTAATCTCAGGGTTGTGCGTTCGAGCCCCACTTTGTGTAAAAGGATTCCCACATTACAGGGCTAGATGATCCTCGTGGGTCCCTTCCAACTCTCCCATTCTATGAACGGAAAAGTCCCAAACACCATTCGGTGAAGCTTTCGCCTAATAATTGCTTTCTCGTTAGGGTATCCTTTCCCCAGTTTAGCTTCATAGCTGTAATGCAGGAGAAAACAAAGCTCTGGCTTTGCAGTCTGATAGTCCTTTCCAGGCGGTGGGATAATTATAGCTTGAGGAAGGTTATACAAATGGGCATAGGTGTTCAGCAAAGGGATGGCTCAGCAAGTTTCTAGTGTGCTGTGACACTCATTAGATTAATTCAGTTTAGTTGGTGTATTGTCTTCAGTATAATTCTGTCTTCTCACTGGAGTGTTCAGACTTTCACAGTGTATAGGTGGAGCTACGGGATTGCTTCCTTCGCCTCTCTGTTTTTGTTCTGGAAGCCCTGATCCTACAATGTTCATGGGGCAGCTGACATTTATCCGGGGTAGGTCAGTGTTAGAAACTCAGATATATAAGCTAGGTGGCCAAATGGCTCCTTAAACCAGGGTTACAGTCACCAAAACGGAATGCCATTTTGGTTGCCATTTTTGGTCCAGGTGGCTTTTCCAGTACAACTTTTTGGTTCCTGAAATCCACCTTGATTGTGCAGATAAAATATAACAGATAGAATTCTACAGGATGTGTTGCTTGTGTGTGAAAACAGTTGATATCCAAGGATCCCCAGGAATCTCCAGATGGTGGAGATGTGAGGTGCCATCTTGGCACCCAGACATCTTCACCTGGTTGCAAGTGGCCGACAGACAGGTGCAAAATGTACCTGGCAAATTTCAAACACTGGGGATGGATGGGTGTGCCGGAGAATATATCTTGCAGGGCTGGCAAAAACCAGTGGTTCTGTTAAGATCTGTGAGTTTGGGCCAATAATTTTTTTGGGGGGGAGAGGGGGTTCCTACTCTTGGTTTCATAGTCATTGCCCAACAGGGAATGCTAGCAGGTGTGGCTACCAGCTTAGGAAAGGCTTGGAGTAAGGTGAGAGTGGACTGCTTTATGCCATTGCCTAGCCATTAGCAATCAACACAGGAAAAGAATGCTAAAGTGGTGCCCACCCTGTGGAATGCTCTCCCATCAGATATCAAGGAAATAAACAACTATCTGACTTTTAGAAGACATCTGAAGGCAGCCCTCTTTAGGAAAGTTTTTAATGTTTGATGTTTTATTGTGTTTTTAATATTCTGTTGGGAGCTGCCCAGTGTTGCTGAGGAAACCCAGCCAGATGGGCGGGGTATAAATAATAAATATGTTGTTGTTGTTGTTGTTAAATAAACTGCTAGATCTCAGTAACACTGTTTAAGCCACTGTGCATTTGAAAGTTTGCAAACAAATCAGCAATGTGATCCTGTGCATGTTTACTTGGAATCAAGTCCTACCTTTAATCAGTGAACTTGTGTCTAGAAACCTTTGCAAAGAATTGGCAGTCTGAGGTAAGAGTTTGGGCCTTTACGATCTCCCCCGCCTGGCCCCCTATGGCAGTGCCAACTGTGGGAAAACCAACTCCACCCACATTTATTATTGCCTTTCATATATATGGTAGACCACAATGTGGGTGAGGCATGTGGGTGAGTTAATTGGGGTTTTCACATATCTCCCTCTCTCTCCAGATCCCAAACCCAATGGCTGTGGTGTTAGGATGTGAGAGCTACATAGCGAAGCCGCAGGATGAGTGTGGGCCCAATTTGGCATGCCATGCTTTGAAGACTGTCCCGCAATTAATGAGAAAAGCCACAGGCTGTCCCACACTGGTGTTTGCTTCAGCGCTGTGGGCAACAGCATTTCAGAGAGAAGGTGACAGACGTCAAGGGTTATTACCATTGCTGTGGTGAGGGTGGATGCCTCTTGGCTGCTGCCCGGTGTTCCAACTTCCTTTTGTTTTTGAAAGTCTCCCAGGTTTAAAAGAAACCACCTGTGTGTGAGTGTGTGTCTCCTGAAAGTGGGAGAAAACAGGAAGCAGGTTGATGAGACTGATTTATAATAAAACCACTTGCCACTGTTTAATGCTGCCTTTGAATGTCTGGAATTGTTCCTTACCCAAAGCGAATCAAATTGCAGTATAAGAGAGAGAGAGAGAGAGCTTTGCTTCCTTCCCTTATTTCAGCAAAAGAGGCCAAGCTGGTTTTTTGACAGGTGGTAGGGAAAGTTTGATTGATTGACTTATCCGGGGGGGGGGGGGGGAGAACTGTAGCAGTCAGCAGTCTGCAGGCTTCTTCTTCCCCGATACAGTTTTTTCTTTATAACAGAGCAGTCAAATGACGTCCACATTCAGGCGCGCCCCCCCCCCACCTCTGGTGTCTAATGAGTTTATGCTGAGGCTGTAGATCTACTTGCAACACATTAATCGTTTTATAATTGAAAAATAAGCCCCTACCTACGAGTCAGGGCTACTGGTGTGCAGGTGAAGTTCAGAGACTGGAATATCGCTTTCATAAATCCTGCCACCCTGTTCTGAATTCGTGCCTCTCTTTGTTCTTGTTTTCTCTAAATAGCCACACCTTATGGTTTCAAGGATGTCATTTTGGGGCTGGACTTTGATGTTTTGCTAAAGCATGCATGAATACCAAAAGCTTAAAAGTTGCGACTGGTTTTTAAAAAATTATTGTGATATGATAAAGGAAAGTTGGCTCTTTCTCTAGTGTGACTTATGTCTGGGAGGCCTGAAGTACAGCTTGCTAAAAGCATAATTAAAAGCACCCTACAAATGGGTGTGTAAATCAGCCAGACAGAAGCGTAACTCATCCGAAATGGCTGCGTTTGGGCGCCCGGACGGCCATAACTTATACTATTACAGCAAAATTGTTTTGGTTTTCTAAACATAATAAATGACACAGCAAATAGCATTTGGCCAGTGGCGTACAAGAAGCAATCCATAGTATATGGATTTGTTCAATGGCATTTAAAGGACCTTGATTAAAATTCAGCCCAGGCGGGAGTGATGAGAAGACTGTTTACTGAAGGCTGTTTGAAGTCATAAGTTGCTCTGCAGACAGAGACCACAGGGATACATAGATTGAAACATTTCTTACCTTGCACGTCTGGAAACTAGCTGTCAGGAGCATCTGACATTTTAAAAGAGGGGCATAAAAAATTCTAGAGCAGGATGACTGCTGCGGCGGCTGCAGCTTATGAGTTTTCGTTTCCATTGTTATGCAAGTTAATGGCTCCGCATCAAAGATCAGGGCAATAATAACCATCTTGTTTGCCGGCTCTGTGTTCCTTCTGGAATTATTGCAGATGTTGCACTATGCATTCTCTCCCCCCCTTTTTTTTCCTTTTTGGTAAGTGGTGTGCATCAGAAAGCATATAATGTAAAGCAGACTGCTTTGTCAGTTTCCCCTGTGCACACTAGGACAAAATAGCCTTTCTTAGCGGCGGAGGATGAAATAATTAGACCACGGCTCACCATAGAGAGGCCAGGCACCATTTTTTCCTTTTCAAGCACGAGTCGCACTTGTGTCTCTGGCCAAAGATTTCAGTTTACGGTTGGAGCAGGAGGGATCAAACTTTGCCAGCTGCTTTTGTCCCCCACCCCGTCCTCCCCTCCCCTCCCCGGCGCTTCTCTTCCATCCTACAAGCCGAGACATGTGTGACCAATTGGAAAAGAACATTTTGAATATGGTATTGTAAAATACTTTGAAGAAAATATTTCATGTTTAGTCTAGATTTCAGAGCAGTTCATTCTTTAATCAGATAAAGACTCTGCTATTGTGTGAGAATGGAGACTTAGCTTTTCTTTTCTCTCTCCTCTCCACGCCCCCCCCCCCAGTCTCAAAATAGGAAATGTGGCAGCGTACTGTGCTTTAGATGTCACGAAGAGTAACATGTTGATCAGGTGATCTTTTTGTTTTGCATCTGCTGGGTTTCTCAGCTTGCGTGGCATGTGAATTTCAAACGAAAAAGTACTCTTCCGCAAGGGACTGGAGTGGCCAGGACTCTAACGGCTCTAAGGGAAGACAGGCAGACATAAAAGCGGTTCAAAATTGCATTCTGAGGCATTCATTGTCCGGCCAGAGAATGTCTGTCCTTTTAAAGTGCTTCTACCACACTTAGAATGTCCATCTCTTCTGGCCCTAGGCTTATTGACTGACCAGTCGCTGCTGTTGGCACATAGCAAGCCTGCTCTCTTGTTAGAAGAGCATGTTCTCCAGACATAAAGTGACCTGATTCACATGTTCTCCCACCCCCCCAAATCTTAAACTGAAAATAAATTATGCAAATAAATAATGTGCAAATTTGAACCACATTCTCACCTCTTGAATGTTCCTATGCAACTCTCAGCTCAAAATATGCTTAGAAATTCATATTTTGCAATAAATTGTGAATTCAAGGCTGCGCTCCTTTTTTTCCAGTTTCCTGGAAGTAAGCCATGTTGAACTCGAGGAGATGTGCATTTGAGTAGACATACACACACTTGTGCTATAAAAGACTTTTAAAGTGCAAAGTTTATGTGCAGATGCAACAACGAGAACACCGATCAGTGTGGAAACAGGATATAATTTACTGTGTATTTTGGATAGCTGTTTGTTCACTTGCTGTGCATTTTGACACCTCTTAAGATGGCATAACCAAGTTTCACCTATTTATTTATTACATTTATAACCCACCCCATTTCCAAGGAATTCAAGGTACTCACCCTCATTTAATCCCCACAACAACTCTATGAGGTAGGATAGGCTGAAAGGCAATGACTGGATACCACAAAGGAGCGTAGATAGAAGAGCAGATAAATAAGTATGAGGTAAGAGAGAACTGACAATACAGAAGTAGCCAATATGGTGCCTTCCATTTGTTATTGAACTCCCAGCAGTCCAGGCCAGAAAGAGTATTAATATAGTTATGTATAAAACAGATTAGGCAGACTGACAAAGACAGAGGAGACAGAAAGGCCAAGGAAAAAGAGTACTGAAATAACGGAAGAAATAACGGAAGAGTGGAAAAGGTGAGGGA